TTCAAGAACAAGTGTTTTTAACTGCTAAGCCATTTCTCCAACCTTGTTTTTTAATTCTCTTTCTTTCTTTCTTTTTCTTTTTTCCAAGACAGGGATTCTCTATAGCTTTGGAAGCTATCCTGGAACTCTGTAGACCAGGCTGGCCTTGAACTCAGAGTCTCTCTGCCTCTCAAGTGCTGGGACTAAAGCATGTGCCACCACTGCCTGGCAGTTTTCTCTTTTTAAGATTCATTCAGTGTGTGTGTGTGTGTGTGTGTGTGTGTGTGTGTGTGTGTGTGTGTGTGTGTGTGTGTGTGTATAAAGGAGCCTGCAAAAGATAGAAGAGGGCACTGGATTGCCTAGAGCTGGAGTTAGAGGTACTTGCAAACTATGTGACGTGAGTTCTGGGAACCCAACGTATATGCTGAGTGCTCTTAGCCCTTGAGCCATCTCTCCAGTGCTGGGCTGGTGTTTTTTGAGATGGGGTTTCCTACAGCTTATGTTGACCGAAAACTCACTTCATATCTGGAGCTTATCTTGAATTCCAGCTTCTCTTGCCTCAGTCTCCCAAGAGCACCACACCTGGCTGCAGCTGTGTCTGTACTCCCAGAGGACAGCACATGGACAGCCTGGTTCACCATGTCCTTGTCATTCATCTGGGCTGGGGTGGGCCAGAACACACGTTTGTGCAGTAAGTTTTAACTTGCTGCCTCTCTCCTACTGTTCCGGGACTCAGTTTCCCTCTGGGATCTGAGAGAAGTTCTGAGGTTCTTTCTGGGATAAAGGCAAGCAAACAGGACACTGACAGCAGAGGCAGGGTCCTAGGGTCATATCTAAAATGGAAGGCCATTGCAGGGCCAGCACAAGGGGCCAAGTCCCTGAAATGAAAGGAGCAAGCCACAGGAAGGTATTTGTCCCTTCCCTGAGATGGCTCATAGAAATGAGTGTTCCAAGCTATACACTCTAGTCTGTGTTACTTGGCAATTTCTCTTATCTCCTAGACCCCAGTCTTCTCATCTGTAACAAAGAGGTGACAGAAACTCAAACTGAGGGCATGAGCCACACGCCTACAGCAGTACATGCCGGAAAGCAGCAAGTGCCCAAGAAAAGTCAGCTGACATCCTTGTTGTCCCATTTGTGCATCAGTGGTATTAAATGCAACTTACTCTGGGATGAGGGCCCCCTCAATTTGCCAGACTGCTGCCCCAAAGCCTGATCTGGAGGCAAAAGTGGAGCCCAAAGCTATGTACCCAGCTTTCTAAGCCCCCCACACCTAGCCACCAAAGGGCCGGGCAAGGAGGCTGGGTCAGGAGCAGACAGCTTGGGTGGAGATTAGGGCCTGTCACTGACTGAGCTTGGGAATCCTCATCTGTACACTGGGCTGACATACCAAGAGCACAAGAGAGACGATCAGATCTGCCTGGAAGCCCTGTCCTCCCAGGCCACAGCCGCAGCCCCCATGTGACATGGAACAAGTTCTCTGTCCTTCTATGTCTTTTAACATTTAAATTTTATTTTATTATTTATATGTATGTGTGCATGCATGAGTTTCTGTGCACTACAGGCATGTGTGCGTGTGACTGTGGATACCAGAAAGTAGGGTTCCCTGGGGCTGGAATTACAGGTGGTTGTGGTAAGAGTAGACTGAACCCAGGAATGAGGGAAGAATCTTAGTGCCCATGCCCCTTATAGGTCCCAGGAAGCCCTATCCCCCTTTCCTTCTGGGAGGTTCTGGAATGTGGCTTCAGAGCCATAGTTGTGTCTCTGCCCTGTGTCACCAGCCCCTACTGCAGTGAGTCCCAAACCCACACCCAGGTGGACAGCAGCATGGAGCTCCCAGTCATGCCCCAGCCTCAGACAAATGACCACCTACAGTCAGGAATCACCATGCAACTTCAGGCGCCTAATCCCAGCCACCAGGCTCAGGCCACAAGTGCCAAATGCTTCCAGATGGAAAAAGTCAAAATGCAGGGAAAGGTACACGCACCAAACTGGAACAAAAGAGAAATGCTTAAATAGTCAACAAGGGACTCGCTGTCCAAATGATGGTGCAGGGTGGGACAGAATAGTCCAGAACTGCAAATGGACGGTTATAGAGTCTAAATGATGACATGGAAATAACATGGTGCTTAAGAAATGTCCACAAGACTCTCACATGTTCATCTGAAGGGTGAAAATTACCTTGCCAAGCCCAGAAGGTGGTTTATAGCTGGTAATGATAATCCTGGCACTTTTTTCTTCCCAGTACTGAGAATTGAATCTGGAATATTCTAGAAAAAGTACTCTGCCACTGAGTGATATTCCAGCCTTAATCAGGAAAGGTGTATGGGTGTGTGTGTGTGTGTCTGTCCGCCATTGCATGTAAGAGGATAACATATGGCTTTCTCCACCATATTGAGTCTAGGGATCAAACAAACTCAGGTAGTCAGCATTGGCAGCAAGCCTTTACCCACTGAGCTGTTTTGTCAGCCCATAGACCTAAGATTTTAAAAATGATTTCCCCCACTCTCTCTTTTTCTCCCCCACTTCACCCCCCCCCCCGTTCTCTTGAAACAGGTCCTCATCTAGTTCAGTCTGTCCTTGAGCTTGGTATGAGCTCCAATTTCTGATTCTGCCTTTGCTACCTGAGTGCTGGTGTTATAGGTGTGTCCACCACGCCTCCCCTTTCGCTGTCCTCCCCTCCGCTCCCCTTCTCTCCTCTGCCCTCCTTTTCCTTCTGCCCTCCTCTTTGCAGAGCCTCACACCTGCTAAGCGTGGCTCTGCCACAGAGCTGTATTCTCAGCACCGTCACTCATCTGTTTTCTTTGGTTAAGCTGCTCCTTAAGAATCTGCACATGTATGTTCTTTAGAGGGATTCCAGGGCTAGAGAGATGGCTCAGTGGTGGTTAAGAGCCCTTCCAGAGTAGCTGGGTTCAATTCCTGGCATCAGTCTGGAGGCTCACAACTGTCTGTCTGTACCTCCCTGGGTACACAGATGTACATGCAGGTAAAACAATCATACACATAAAATAAATAAATGTAGGACAGAGAGAAAATCCCACACTGAAGAGCAGTCACACCGAGTGTCCATCCTTCTGGAATTTTCTCTGTGCAAACTGCACACTTAGTAGAAATGGATTGCTGTTTAGGGTTCTAACTGTGTTCTATATACATCTATGTGTCGTAGTGAATGAATCCACTGGTTTTGTGGTTGCTGCTGGATGGCATTCTGTGATGCCCTGAGCTCTGTGATGCCCAGGACTACACAGCGAGACCTTTTCTCAAGGCATAAAATAAAAATAAGTTGTGTGTGTGTGTATCTATACATATGCATATATATACATGCATATGTAAATATATGTAGTTTTTTTTTTTTAACTCGGAACCTCACATATGGCAGTCAAGAGCTCTACCACTGAGGTACACACCCAGGAAATAACCACAGAGCTCCCTACTTCCTAATTATTTTACCCACTTTACCATCCTCTACAGTCCAGTGGTTCTCAGCCTCCCTAATGCTGACACTTTAATCACTTTAATACAGTTCTTCATGTTTGGTGACCCCAACCACAAAGTAATTTCACTGCTACTTCATAACTGTGATCTTACTACTGCTATGAATCATAAATATCTGATACACAGGATATCTGAAATGCAACCCCTATGAAAAGATCGTTTGACACCCAGTTGTTCAACACCCACAGGTTGAGAACCACTGCTCCACAGGCTTGAGGTCTGTGCCTCAGGTCTGTAGGGGAGAGGTGATGGCTACATGCTACTGAACTCTGATTTCCAAATAAGAACTGAGGGTCAGTAGATTAAAATCAGCCCTGAGGGAGTATTCATGCCACTTTTAGCAGCAGCCTACCTGAAATCTGGAAAGTTACCTAGACTTTGACACCCCACCTTCTATGCCACAAGTCATGCGTGTCTCCCCAAACACAGAGGAAGGGGGCCTGGAGTCCTGGCCCAGACTTGGGCCAGGCTCTGTTACAGTAAGTGGACTTCGAGGATCAAAGCCTCCATTTTCTCTTCTGGGAAATGGGGTAATTGTGGCAGCCATCTTGCAGGGTCACATGTGGTCAGAGCAAGGGTTCTGGGGGCCACAAGCCTGGAGCCAAATCCCTGCTAAGTCACTCAGTGTCTCTGAGACTCAATTTCTGGTTGACCAACGAGGTGGTGGCAAGAGATTTCCCATCAATTACAGACTTTAAGATGCTGGGGTGGCCCCATCTCCTCCCCATACTCTGCCCCCTTGCGGTCCATGCCAACCCTTGGTCAGGCCCCTGAATCTGTAGGTGTCCACAGTTAGGGGTGACGGAGGGGCAGGCCCCCTGGGACCCATCGTAAGTGGGACTGGGGCCACCTGCTTCCTGGTGACCTAATTGTCAGCCTGGATGAGAAGACCTACAGAACCCCTAAATGAGCCTGTGTTCTTCTTGAGAAGGGGATAGAGGCAGGACAGAGCATGTGCCCTTTGTGGGTTCAGTGGGGTTCAGTGGGGGGAGGAGGCAAAGTCCAGGAAAAGTGGAAGGACTTGAAGCTAGTAACTCTTTGGACAAATGATCTCATTACAAACCTTTACTACAACACCCCTGGCTGAGGCCTCAGGGTCATCCCTCAAGATCACACAAGGAAATGAGGAGGTCAAAGTTGGACCTAGAGGCTAACTTTCTCTTGTGCCCCCTCCTAAACTTCCTCAAATGGAAAGCTCAAGGCTGAGAGAAGGGAGGGCACACTCCAGCGATACAGTCTGGCTCCTGGCGTTCTAGATAGCTGAACACAGTAGGTGCCAGGGCTAAAGTAAATAGCTTATTACCCCCCTTCGCCCCAGAGTTTCACTGCTCAAGTCTGGAAACCTGTGAAATCTTTTAGTCCCACTAAGCTGAAATAGTTGGCGATCCCGTTCCTGCCACCTACCACATTGGGGGTGTCTTCACCAGCCCTGAGCTCAGGACTCAAGAGGAAGAACGGGAACGCCCAGAGCCTGCCTTGTCTCCTTGTCTCGGCTATGTCCCCAACCAGGGGCGCTGGACACTTACTTGTGGGCACGAAGCTGTAGATGGCCAGTAGCAGGATAATGGCCAGAGGGAACACGCCACGGTCCATGCTGTCCACCTGGGAGTCTGTGCGCTGGGCCTTATCCGGTATCCAGAGGCAGGGCTGCGGGTGGGCGCCGGGGCCGGCGTGGGTTCGCACGGGGACCCGAAGGGAGCAGGCGGCCGGAGCGACCACGTCCCTGCTCCAGCCTTCTGAGGTGGCGGCTGAGAAGTCAGGAGAAGTGAGCTCGAGACTCACAGCAGGGCAGGGGGCTCCAGCTGACTGGATGGTGGGAAAGATACACTGCGCTCTTTTGGACAGCAGCCGGCAGCGGTCTTGGTCTGGGGACGGGACACAGATGGAGGTAGGGGTCTGACTGTCCTAGGCAGGGAACTCAGCTCATCCAGACCGGCCCAGAGAGGCAGGAAATGCGCTTCCTTAGAGAAGGGGCTGGGCCAGGCGGCCTGCCAGGCGGGTAGAGGAAGTGCCACAGGCTTTGTCGCTGGGTGGGGGGCCCTGGGATGGGGGAGGCAGGCCGATGGGAGGGCCCAGGCGTCAAATCTCCCCCCATTCACTCCACCCTCCAACTACTCTTGCTGGTGAGATCACATCTTGAACCTGACGGGGTCAAGCTCTGCATGAAGCCCAGTAACTCAGGTTCCTTATAGATGAGGAAACAAGTGATTACTGAGATAGCCTTCTGGAAGGATGCTGCCTGGAATCCCAGCTGATCCCTACCAGCATCAACACAGACTTCCAGGAGCATTGCTCTTGGCTGTGTCCCTTGTGTTACAGACAGGGAAACTGAGACCCAACATGAGGAAGAAACATTCCCAGGTTAGCATAGAGCAGCTGAGACTGTGCTCGCTGGGTCCAGAGGTCAGAAGGTTGCAGAGACCTCAGAGCCCACATGGTCCCAAAGGCACCTTTTGATTTTGGTGGCACACATTTGATTTTGGTGGCACACATCTGTAATCCATGCCCCCCGGAGGCCAGGGCAGGAGGGCTGTGAGCTGGGGACAAGCCTGGGCTATACATAGTGAGACCTGTCTCAGGAGGCACAGCCCCAGCCTTTTATGGCATTTCTGAAGTCAGATGACCCTGTTTTTGGATCTGTTTTGCTTATTTCCAGCTAGGACCTGGTTGAGTCTTTAATCTCAGTTACCTATTTGTAACACAGGTACAGCTGTGTCCTCTTCCCTGGGGTTCTTGGGAGACTTCTGAGGACCAGATGATGGCTACAGCACTAACCCCAGGCCAGGTCCTGCAGGAACTGCTTGCCGATTGTGCTCCCTCAGCTAAGGTGACAATCCCAGAATGGCCCATGCTCATTTTGCAAATAGTAAACACAAAATGTGTGCCTACCATGTTTTTAGGTGGAAATTACAGTCAAGCCCAGGAAAACTTAGCAAAGAAAGCCTGAACTACCTGGAGAGGCGTCAGGGACTGGAGGCTTCCAGTCACAGCAAGCAAAAGAGGCCAAGAAAGACCAAGCATAGACTAAGGCACGGAAGCAGGGAGAACTTGGATCACCCTGGGATAATAGTAAGGATGCAGAGCGGTTAAGAAGCCCATCTCTGAAGGCCTGAACACAGGGACTTTATCCCTGGGGCCAGTGGGAGTCACTTGAGGAGGGAGAAGGCTGGGAAGCACAGGCTCTGCAGATGTTGGCCTGGGGTTTCAGGGCTGGCCCCTAGGCGCTATTTAGTGGGCCACATCTCAGTGACCAGGCCAGGCCTGAAGTTTGTCTCTGCAGGGGCTGACACGAGGCAGGGAGGGTTCCTAAAGGCAGGCTGGAGAAAGGTCAGCTTGCTCTCACCCAGGCAAGCCCGGGAGACCTAGCTCACCAGGCCTCCTGATGACAGGCCTCTTCCCTTCAGCCGCAGAGATAGCAGACAAATACCAGGACTCCAGGAGGCAGAATGGGGGTGGTGGCAGGGTGCTGTGAGCTTCTCTCTCTATGCCCTAACAGAATCTGTTTTGGGAAGCCAGCCTAGGGCCCACCCTGGGCGTTCACCTTATCAGTACCAAATTGTCACCAGTGACAAGAGGTCTGCTCCTTTAGGCTTTGTTTTACACAGGTGGAGGCCAGTTTGCCAAGGAGCACTGAGAGGGAAACCTCAGGACCAGCAGTCCTTAGCCTGCCCTCCCTCCATGCCTACTGCTCCATCTGAGCTGAGTGGACTGAGGGGACAGCTGGTACAAAGACAGAGAATCACAGAGTGAGATGACAGCCAGGGGAACCTCTGGGCCCCCAGAATAAGGTCTTTGTGTCTCAGGCCCTTCGGAGATGGCTGGCCTGACCCTCCAGGCTACTTAACCTCTCTACACTCTGCTGTCCCAGGGTGATCCAATCACTTCCTATTTCAATGCCTTAGCTTAGGCTTGGCCCCTTCTTAGCCCTGTTTTGGTTTTGGTTTTGTTTTTTTTTTTTTTTTTTTTTTTTAATTTTTAGTGGTCTCACTGTGTAGCCTGGCTGTCTTGGAACTAGCTTCAGACACCAGGCTGGCCTCAAACTCATAAAGATCCACTTGCCTCTACCTCCTGAGTGCCGGGATGAAGATGTGGCCACCATGCCTGGCTCTCAAGGATCCTTTTAAAGGCCCTTCCCACGCCATCTGTGCTGTACAACCCACCTCCATTCAGATCGTAAACAAGACCCAATGCTTTCTCTAGGAAACAGGAGATGCCAGGCTGGTTGGTATAAGGGAGGATCTGTGGAGAGGCAGCTGATGGAGCTCACCTATAATCCCAGCTCTTCATGGGCAGAAGCAGGAGGATGGCCAGAATGATCTACACAAGTAAGAGCTTGTCTCAAAACACCAAAAAGGAAAGGAAAAGAATGAGGGGCCTACAAGATGGCTCAGGGAGTAAAGGTGCTTGCCACTAAGCCTGACAACCTGAGTTTGATCCCTGGGGCCAAATGAAGAAAGAAAGGAACTGACTCTCCAAAGCTGTCTTCTGACCTGCATATGTGTGCCATGATACATGTGTCCATATACACACATATATAAACACAATAAGTAAAGAAATGAAATGTAATTTTAAAAATGTAAAAAGACAAGAACTAGGGAAAGAAAGCCCTACCAGTAGGCTTTAGGGGGCCCTGACCAGAGACCCTGAGGGAATGAAGGGTGTGGAGCCACCAGGCCTGGAAACTTGAGCAAAGAGGCAGTCCCTGCCAACTCAAAGTCTGGGTGCTACTCAATGCCTAGTGCACATCGCTAAAAGTTCCACGAGGGCAGCGACTTTGATGGCCTCTGCTGCTTTATACCTTCACAGATCCAAAAGGCATTTTTTTTTTCCTGAGTCAGGGTTTCTCTGTGTAGCCCTGGCTGTCCTGGAACTCACTCTGTAGATCAGGCTGGCCTTGAACTCAGAAATCCGCCTGTCTCTGCCTCCCAAGTACTGGGATTAAGGTGTGCACCACCACTGCCCGGTGGAACTTTGTTTCTTAAGATATTTTTCTTTTTCTAGAAGATAGCAAGAAGGCTGCCTCAGACTCCGAAGCTCTGGGACTGTAGATGTGCACCACAGTGCTCATCTATAAGATAAATGTATTAAAGTCCTGAGGTATCTTGGAAGCCAAGACGGGGCTGAGGATTGTGGGAATCAGAAAACTGAAGCACAGAGAAAAAGTCTTGCTTCTGATTTCTAGTACATAAGACCACCTAGGCTGGCTCTTGTGTCTCCAGCAGCTTGGTGGTCATAGATCTGTTGCAACCAGGCACAGATCTGAGCAAGCTGTGGTTTGCTTGCAGTATGTTCTTTCCCTCTGGGGACACACTCACCTTCCTGCTCCCCTGCTCCTGAAGGACAGGCAAGGGAGAGTACATCCTTTGGCTTTGTCTGCAGAAGGCTGACCCCACATCTCAGTGGTCTCTCACCTGAGTCATAAACTAGCCAGGATCTATCCTATAATGCCCAGACAATGGCTCCCTCTCCTCGCCAAGCAGTCGTCTGCACAGGGTGAGAGTTCCCTGCCCTCACCTGTGTCTCCCAAACCTGTCATCTGTTTCCTGCCCTAATCCCAATGCAGATGTTCTCAGGTCCCTCCTGTACATCCTCCAGGCGACACATGGCCCCCAGCCAGGCCCTGTGCATGGTCCCCACAGCAGGCTCCATCTTTCTCTTGGCAGGGCCAGGAGACTTGAGCAGCAGGAAGGGATGAAGCACGTCTACCTTGGCACCTGGCCACCACAGGAATGTCAGACGGCCTCTAAGGACCCCAAGGCGGCTGTGAGTCTCCAGCACCAGCCAGGGGCTGTTGATCCCTAACAGCAGGGTCAGATCCGCTCAGGAATAGGGAGGCAAGTGCAAGGTCAGGAGCCTGGGTACCTGACTTTACCCCGTGTCAGCCAGAGAGCCCAGCATTTCCACTTCAGGAGCCCTGTGCCTTCAGCTGCACAGTAGGGCAGCCAGCTAGCCTGTAGAGATTCAAAGTGTAAGACACTCTCAAGCTTACCAGGCCCAGTGCCAAACGCCTGCTTTACCGCCCATCCTCATTTTAGCATGGAAGAAACAAAAAGGCCCAGATGTGCAAGGAAACAGGGCTGGAGAGAGACAGAGGCTGTGTAGAACTTGACCCTTCTAGAGAGGCAGAGCATATGCAAATTTCAGCCTGTTGGTGTTCCCTTGTTTCTAGAACCTTCTGTCCTAGTTTCCTTCCTACATTCCAGATCACCTTATCTGTCTCCTACTGGTTCCTCTTCATCCCCCAGGCTTGGCCCTTGCAACCCTTCCCTTTTCTGTTCACTGACGGTTACATCCACATCAGGATTTCTCAGACCTTGGTGACCCATGCATGACATCATGTTTTAGCCCAGAACCTATCTGTGCCCCTGTGACTACAATGTCCTGGAATAGCATGTGTCCTGAGCTATTCTCCTTCCATCCTGACCACAAGCTGCTGGAGTTCAGTGCCCATCAACAGGCCCTAACCATAAACAATGGGCTGGGCTCTGCCAAGTCTGAGGGGTGAGGTCAAAGTTTCTCCAAGTAGAGACACTCAGCTGGGTATGGTGGCACATGTGATCATAGCTAGTACTTGAGGAACAGGTGATCCTCCATGAGTTCAAGGTCAGCCTAGTCTCCATATTTTCTCTAAAAGCTAAATTGGGGGTGGAGAGGCAATTCAGCAATTAAAAGTTCTTGCTACTCTTGCCGAGGACCCTGGTTTAGTTCTCAGTGGCTCACACTGCCCTGTAACTCCAAATTGAGGGATCTGACACCCTTTCCTGTTCTCCAGAAAAGGCATACACATGGTGCACCTATATACTCACAAGCAAAAACATCATACACATAAAGCAAAACCATTTTAAAAAAGAAAAGAAAAGAAAGCCGAACTAGGAGGCATAGGGCGCAGGTAAAGTCACTTGAAACCAAGCCTGATGACCTGAGTTTGATCCTCAGGACCCACATGGTGGAGGGAATAAACTACAAACTGTTCTCTGA